TGGGCTCAAGTGTGGCAACGATAGGTTGATCCAGGATCGGACAGTGAGTGTTTCATTCTACTCTGCATAAGGTCGCTCACTATGAATCAGTACCAACTCAATGGCACCTAACAACAACAACAACAACCAAATGAAGGTTGTTTTTGTTTTTGTTGTTAAGAGCCATAAAGTTGGTTCCAACTCATAGTGATACTGTATAGGGTTTTTGAGGAGCAGCTGACGAGTTTGAATGACCAACTTTGTGCTTGTGTAGATGGCTGCAGTTTGATGTCTTGCTCTGGATTGGTCTTTGCTATGTACATACATGCCCAAAGTTCTGATCAAAATATGAGATCCTTTAGATCAAGGAACATGCTTGTCTTCTCAGGTTTGATGGGGAAGGGCAGTGTCGAAATTGACAATCTAAAATGGGAGGCACAAAGTGGCTGGTTTACTATACTTTCATGGGTGTGCTTAGACTCAAAACGAGGAGGAAAGATAGGATTCCCCACTAAATACATTCCTTTTTTCCTGATGGGTCTGAGGAAGGAGGTTGTGGGAAGTTGCTGATATGATTGTATAATTCAGCTGTGAATCATAATTGTTAACCGAGTTCATTATGTTTGTAAAAATTGTAATTGTAGAAGTCGTAAGTTTGAAAGTGGACTTAGGGGGACACACTGCTGGGCTGGAGTGCTGTGGTCAAACTTTAAGTCCCTAAAAGCTTTGCTATGCTGGCATATCAAGAGTGGTTCAGAGGAAGAAAATAATATTCTCTTAGTTAAATTTTATCAGATGCTGCAAAGAGTAAAGCCAAGATGACCTTTGGAGTAACTGACCAGATCAGATTAATACCAGAAGCAAACCTGAATGACTAGCACTTCATCTGCGAACTCTTTGCCCTTTTGAAGAACTAATTGTTAATTAATTTTTGGATTGGTAAAATGATTGGGAGGGGTAAGTTATCCTCTAAATATGAAAGAAAGGCACTCTGGTAGTTTAGTGGATTACAAGCTGAGCTGTTAATTGTAAGGTCAACAATTCAAATCCACTAGTCAGTCCATGGGAGAAAGATAAGGCTTTCTGAGAAAGATTTACAGCCTCAGAAACCTTATACAAGGTCACTATAAGTCTGAAACAACTCCATGACACAAAATTATCACCACCATAAGTATGAAAGAAGCAGTTAGTTAGAAAAGTCATTGACATTGATAATTGTTATATGATCTTTTTATGGTCTTGTTCAAATTAACCTTGATATTGAGTGCTTATCCTATGGCACTAATACCCACCAAACGCAAATGAGTTATTTTTGGTCCACAAAGGGGATCAGGCAACTTGCTAATAATGTAAGTAAGGTGCACAGCACCCTTGCAAGGGTGGGAATATACAAAATAGGTGTCATCCTCTGTCTCTTAACTGGTGCATTTAATCCATTTACATTCAGTGTAATTAAGATATATATGGATTAATTCCTGCCATCATGTTTGTTTTTTTGTGTGTGGTGTTGCTGTTCTGTGTGTCTTCTCTTGCTCTATGTGTCTTCTTTGATCTGTGTGTCTTTGTTCTGTGTGTCTTCCTTAGCTGAGTTCATGCTTTTTGTGTTCTTTTTTGTGAGTTTCCTCATAGTTTTAATGTTTCCATATCCTTCTTGGATTTTCATTTTCTTGTTATGTTGTGAAGTGCTAATTTTCTTTGAAGTTCCCTAATAGTCCATTAACTTTTCCCTCCATTTAGTGCAGTCTATTTTATCCTGTAATCTACCTGACCTTCTCACCATCTGGATCACTGTTCCTATGTGTTTACCTTCTTTTACATTGTCAATTTTTTGATCATAGACTGACCTCCCAGATTCTCTGAGTTTGTTCTTATAGTTTTGTTCTGTTCTCAACTCTTCCTTCTGTTGATTTAATTCTGGGAGGTGCTGCAATGTACGTTAATCTCTGGTTGTTGTCTGTTCTTGTTCATTCTCAGTCCACAGAACTCCCTTTAGGATGTTTTTTATAGCACAAGAGTTGGCTTTGGCAAAATCCCTTAGCTTCTGTTTATCCTGGAATGTTTTGATTACACCATCGTATTTGATTGAAAGTTTTGCTGGATAAAGGATCCTTGGTTGGCAGTTTTTGTTTTGTTTTGTTTTGTTTTCTTTCAGTGATTTATATATGTCTCCCCATTGTCTTCTTGCTTGCATGGTTTCTGCTGAGAGATCAGAGCTTAATCGGACTTGTTTGCCTTTGTATTTTCTTCTGTTTTCCTTAGCTGCTTTCAGGAGTGTCTCCTTATCTTTGATTTTGGAGAGCTTGATTATGATATGTCTTGGTGATTTTGTTTTGGGGCTATCCTTCTTGGGGTTTGTAGAGCTTCTTGGAT